GGACATCTCCCATAAATAAGGGGTCTACCGAATTTGCAGGAAATCACATCCTGGACATCCTGTCTCTGGCCACCTCATTCTGAAGGCAGAGTGTTGAGTGTTGGCTGTTAGCCTGGTACACCACTCTGAAGGCAGCGCCATGGCCAATAGGAGCACAGAAGTGAGGGGGAATCCCATTCCACCCTCACTTCTCCATTGCTGCGAGCAGCAGTGCTTCCTTCAGAGCTGCCCCTTTCTCACTGCCTGGTATCGAGCAGTGCTGCCATCGGCAGCAGTGGAGAAGTAACAGTGACTATACTATGCCCCTCTAATAGACCCCCCCAACTTACTTTTGGGGCAAGGGCCCCAGTCTGAGAGATGCTGTGGAGAAATCACAACATTTTTGTGGATAAAAAACAAACTTGGTAGATATTTCTCACACACACTGCACCATGTAACATATCTGCTATTTATGCCATGACCAACCTATGAAAGATGTGGTTTTCTTCCTGCGATTTAAGTAGACCTCCCCTAATTATAATAGGTATTTGGTCCAGTATTCCTCCCTCTGTACTAAAACTGCATGTGAACAGATGAGTGTGATTAATCAGAAACTCTGGAATGGAATTACATGGAATAAAATATATTAAACAAGATACTGTGAAGATTTTTAAACATGGAGCAGTTACATCACAGAGAGAACATTACACCTATGGGTGCAAATTAGCTACTATAGGTTACATTTTAAAGGGACAGTCTGAGGTATAACTCTAGTCATTTTTAAAGATTTCAACGTTACACAGAGTGCTTATGCCCCCTTGCTCATATTTATGGTTTTACAGTCGCCTTTTTTTTGTTTGAAAAATGCCTATTCTCTTTCCTGTCACTGTTTGAAAATTTCCCAACAACAGGAGAATGTGGCTAGTTGAAGGTACATGCACAGGGAATCAAAGGCTATTAATGCACCTTCCAACACTTCTCTTGACTTTTTAAGTAGGGTATTGAGATTAAAATCATTCTGATTTGATTTTTCAGAGAATTCAAGCTGTTTACATTCTGGGGATTTCTAAATGCGCCTTCATGCAGGGGCGGATGAGAGTGCCGCGAGGCCCCTGACAGCGCTGCGGGGCCCCAGGCAGCAAAGTTTCGCGGGGCCGCCCCTTTGACATGGCACATGCACAGTGGCACCATGGCGTCTGCGCGGGGCCTCGGGAAACGCGGGGCCCGGGGCAGCCGCTCCGCTCGCCCTGCCCTAAATCTGCTGCTGCCTTCACCTTCTAAAACAATGCATACTATGCTGCTGCACAAAAACGCACAGTACACAAAACTTTTGTAGTTCTGAGCCTCTTCAGAACAGAAGTTGGTTTTAGTTAATGCTGTTTGGAAATTGCACTGTTCAAGCCAGACATGGCAGCAGAGATGTATGTAGATTGTAGCTATCTGAGGGTACATCTACATTACAGAGAAGATCGAAGCTGCCGCTGTTGATCTTCCAGGGTTCGAATTAGCAGGTCTAATCAAGACAGCCAATTTGAAATGAGAGGGGCAGCCCGGTTGATGCCGGTAGTCCTGCTTCCACGAGGAGTAAGAGAAGTCAAAAGAAGAGTGTTCTCCCTTCAACTTCCTGCAGTGTTGACAGAGCCAAAAGTCTAGTTAAGCTACTTCGACTTAAGCTACACAATTAACATAGCTGAAGTTGCATATCTTAATTTGACCTTGTCCCATAGTGTAGACATACCCTGAATGTTGCCTATGAATTACCTTTACACAGGAGAAGCAAATAAACCCGTAAGCTTCAGTATGGAAATATTAGGAGTGATCTCTCGCAGCTAGCCGCCAGAGGGCACTATTACTACACAATATAACTAAAATAATTCCCTGGCACAAAGGAAGTCTGACCTGAAGAAGGGCTCTGTGTGGCTTGAAAGCTTGTCTCTCTTGCCAACAGAAGTTGGTCCAATAAAAGATATTGCCTCACACAACTTGGCTCTCTAAAGGAATCCAGAGGCAGTTTCAGGGGAGATTAAATACACTGCAGATGTAATATTGAAAGGAACAATAACTGGCTGCACAGCTCATACAGAACTTTCACTCTGCTATTCAGTGAACTGCTAATATCGCTTAAGGAAACACTGTGCTTATCTAGTCTTTCGGAATCATTGTGGGCCATGATAAACTCAAGGGGGAAAAATTCCACTGCTGCTAGATAGTTTCAGATACTGTAGTAAAATACTCATCTGTAGCAATGTCCCTATCACCTCTTCACATTTTGTTCACCTGTCAGCTCATCAACCACAAGCTTAAGTATTTGCATCTGACTCTCTGGCTTTTTTTTTTTCTCGCTGTAACCAGAACTTTTAGTGGAAATGATGTTTAATCATGGCTGTTACGAGGTTCTAGTATTATGGCCCTGAAGTGGGAGCCAAGCCTTGCAAAATTTGACTTTCCATTGAGACAGTAGGCTTCAAAGACCTACTTGTATGAGTATAAGAAGGTCTCCTTCCACTCCGCCACTGCCTTATGTTTTTCTTTAAGAAATTAGTATTTTCAGTATCAGACCCATTAGTGGACACCATGTGGTAACTATGGAATGATCTTATCCAAACTGTATTGTTAGAAGCCTTCTCTGTCCCCCTCTGAGGTATACAGAATGGCTTGACAACACATTTCCAATGGGTTGGGCAAAACCAAAATCCTGTCACAGACCTACTTACATTATTATTCAAAGTTTTGTGTATGTGGGACCTTATCTGTATTCTGCAACTGACATACCTAAATTTTAGCCTTGCTATGCAACACTCCATGTAACTGTCTGTACGCCAACTTGAGACTATGTTGTAAATGGGTAAGGAAACAATCCTGTTGTAACTGGCTCGCCAGTGACAGCTGCAGGGTAAATGAGGACAGAGAGGAAGATGTCTTACTTAATTTATATGTGTCTGAGATGTTTCAGATTATTTGTTCTGGTGGAGATCAGAGATCCGCTGTAAGACATTCTGTGCTCTCTCTTTTAAATGCTCCATATGGTCTCTCTGGTGCAGATATATTTCCCACCTGACTATAAATCCCAGCCAAAACTAACAAAAATGACCAGAAACAGGTGATGAATGCATTTTCTTCTGAATATAGTATTCTTGTAGATTTTTAAAATATATATATGTATGACACCTCATATGAGGAGAGAAGAATCTATTCACAAGGCTTCCCAACCTTCTCCAGCAAAATTGCTAGTCAATCTATATATTTTAGAAATGTGCATCTGTTTGTCTCTCTGTGAGTCTGTGCAAGAGCTCCTCCTAAATGGTAGGACCTAGGACCACCAAATTTGATAAGCAGCTTCCTCTTATCCTAACTTAAAGCAAGGTCAGGGTTTGGTTGTGCCAAGAAAATGGGCGAATGGGACTGTTTTCCATAGCATGGAAAGGGAGGGGCAGAGAGAGGAGGGACACAATACTGAGAGTGGTCACTGGGGGGCAGCGAGCCCACAGGGGAGAGCTATACTGCAGAGAGAAAACTGGGGGCAGCCATACCACCAAAAGAATGGCCAGCAGAGCTGGGACTCTGATATCTTGACTGCCAACAGACTGGGTAAGTAGTCCCCCTGCCCCAAACCCTTCCCTTCCCCATCCCTGGCACTTGGCCACAGTACAGGAGGGGAGGGGCAGGGAAAAGGCTGCTGATGGCTGTGGGGAGACAGAAGGTCCCTGGTGACTGGGGGAAATGGCGGAGACAGGAGGTCCCTGGCAGCTGTGGGGAGGCTCTGGGGGGAGATAGAAGGCCTTGGCTGCCAGAGGGGCTACGAGGAGACACTTCCAAGACCCTGCCCTAACTTCTACACCCTCCACATGGCCAGCCCCCTGCCCTAAAGGACCTGGGCAATGTTAGGTAAATCTTCTAGTTTGTAATGAAAGGTTTTCCCCTCAAATATGAAATTGTATACTGCACGTGCTCCATATTTTAAACGTCACTGTTGCCTAATGGATAGAGCACTGGCTTGGAACTTGAGAGTTCTGTGCTCTATTTCTAACTCTGCTACTGTCCTGTTGGGGGACCGTGGCTAAGACTCTTCACAGACACTTGGTGCCTCAGTTTCCTTATGTGTAAAATGAGGTAATTATACTGAGTTCTTTTATAAATGCCTTGAGATCTATTGCTGAGAATTTGTAAGAGCTACTTAGTAATCTTTGTATGGAATATTAGGGGCTCTGAATATTTATCCTGTAGATATCGAGGGCTCTGAAGTAGTTGTGGTAAGAAATTGGGATTCTTAATTGTAAACAATTAGCAATACAAAACCAACCAACCAGAGATTCCTTCTCCTGAAGAAAGATTTGAAAACAGTGCTGATTGTGTATGTACAAAACAGGCACCTGACTACAACTGGATATAGGCAAGCTCTGTTTTTGGTACGTGCACATGGCTAATTGTGTACCTAACCAACTCAATGTGTGCAAACCAAGGATTTGAGAGTACATGTGGAAACATCAAAACTAAGGAGGCGTCAAACAGGCTCAGCATCAGAGCTTTCGATTTTTTTTATATTGCTGCAGTTACTGGCATTCAACTTTCAAAATAATAATCCAAGTCAGCCTGATCTATTTATGTTCTTTACAGTGATATTGTGGGCAGCCATGTTGGTCCCAGGCTATTAGAGAGACAGTGTGGGAGAGGTAATGTCTCTGACTGGACCAACTCCTACGAGAGACAAGCTTCTGACCTTACACAGTGCTCTCCTTATCTTTCCCAGACCAGAAGAAGAGTGCTTTGAAAGCTCAGTGACTTCTTTCAGCATCAGAAGTTGGACTAGTGAAAGGTGTTACCTCACCCATCTTGCCTGATCTGTCTAAATGACTTTTAGTGCACTTATCACTGTACTAACTGCTGAGTCTCCACAGAAGTTTTTGTTGTTGCTGTAAGAGAAGAAAGCATTTCCTTTGTGCTATTTTCAGTGTTATTTGCAAACCCATAATATTTTGGGAGGGTCTGCCTGAAACTGTACCTGCTATTTGAGGAAATACAACTTTTATTCTTTGGATGTGCTGAAAATCCTCATTAAGTATTAATCATTTGTGTCAAACTTCAAACAGGTGAATAGTCCCCTTTGATTTGACTGGGAGGGACTACTTCTTACATATGTGAACATGGTATATGTGTAAGTACCAGGCTTGATGGGGGTCTTAATCTCTCAGCAGAACAACACTGAACAGGAATATATTCGTGTCCCACTAATGCAAGGTTACTTACGTGAATACTTCGAAACCCCATCCTGCTATGGCTGTGAAAATCCTTGGGCTTAGGTCCCTGGCTGGGTTCATGGCACAACCACTATTCATGCCCAAGGAACAAGAGAGCAGAAGGATAAGCAGTCCAACTGCAATTGGTTCCAAGCCCTTTGGTACAGCCATGTTTTTGGTGTCAAAAATAGCAAAGACAATCAGAACGAGAAGAGCTGTTGACATCACCTGTCCAATGAAAAGAAAATATATTGACTAAATATACACACGCGCTCTAATAAGAGAGCGGTCTGTCTGGGTCAGAATCTGAACTTCCCCCAAATTTTGTGACATTTGCATTTGATGATCAGTTTCATCCCATTTATTAGCATTAACCACCCAAAATTTTTAAAAAATTCAACTCCACCCAAATGTTCATCACATAATAGGCAAACACATAATACGCAGGAGCTCAAGCAATAATAGTTATAAAAGTACTAAGAAATACAAGCAGAGAAATGCAATGTAAACTGATTGGTTGGTTCCTGGCAGATCACATTCCTTTATGCAGTGATTTTGCCAACGCAAAACTAATTGCTTCATATTTCTGCCTTGCTTAGCCATTCCTGTTGCACAATTTGATAGTTAGCTGAAGTGACTATTTAAACACAGAATCTATAAACATTTAAAAAGTTGCTACAGAACCATTTTTGCTAATGATGGGCTTAAATCCTACAGGTCATTCAGAGGTGTGTGTGTGTGTGTGTGTGTGTGTGTGTGTGTGTGTGTGTGTGTGTGTGTGTGTGTGTACGTAGACATAAAGAGACTGTCTGAGCAGAAAGCAAAGGGCAAATCTGAGCAATGTTGTGGAGAAGGAAATGGCAAGATTTACAAGCCAGAATGAGTGGAATGGAGTTTGGAAGGACACTGCAGAGTTTTGTTGGAAAAACAGCCATTTTTCTGACAAAACCTGAGTTACGGCCACACTGCAATCACGTTCCTTCGAAAGTAAATCGAAAGAATAGAGGGGTTTTTCCGGCATTGGTAATCCTCTTTCTACGAGGAAGAAGCCTTTTTCCGAAAGTGCTCTTTTGGAAGCGGGGAAGAGGGTGTTCTTTTGAAAGAAGAGGAAAAAGCACAGGTGTCCTGGTGGCCACCCCGTCCATAGTAATCACAGATTACATGTGACAGAGCATCTATTCATTGTGAACACTATCTTTTGAAAAAGTAGATCACTTTTCGATGCACTTTTGTGTGTGGGCGCTCTCTTTCGGAAGAAGTTTTTTTTTGAAAGATCTCTTCCGAAAGAAGCTTGCAGTCTAGACATAGCCCCAGTGTCTGAGGACTTATTTACACTCAGGTTTTTGTAGTAACTTAGCTATTTTGGTTAGGGGTGTGATGTGTTTTACCAATATAATTTAACTCCTAGGATGGTCAATTCTGTATACCAGAATAAAGGTGCTTTATGCAGACACAGCTTATTCCCCTAAATTTACAGGAGAGAGAGAGAGCCCATTTTTATTCTGGTATTGCATCTAAAACCTACATTGAAGAACATTAGTTTACAAAGTTAAGTGCTCAAAAGTTAGAAAATGCCAGAATTTTCATTGCCTGTACAACCTTTAATTGGGCCCTTTGTGCATATGACTTATGATACAATTTGTAATAGAATTGCAAGGGAAAACTTTGACAAAATAGCTTTCTCACAGAAAAGACAGTTCTGACCAAATCAAAACACTTTGCAAAATAGGGTCAATTTCCCAAATATATATATAGATATGAGAAAAACCTAGGGCAATAGGGTAGAGTCCTGGCAGTTTCAGATTGTCCCATATTGACATTTTTGGAATCAGGCTTTTTGTTTTTGCTTTTTTTTTAACTTTGAAATTACTTTTCATTTTGAATTTTTTGGTATATCATGTTTTTAATACAAAACAAAAATGTAATTTGTTGCAAAATACTGATCAATACAGAACAATTTTTAAAGACATCTTTTGCAGAACAAGTTTGAAATATTCAGGTTTTTCAAGTTTGAAATAAAGCCATGTTTTGAAAATCTCAAAATCCTTCACCAAATGGAATTTTCATCCTTCTGGCAGCACGGGCTTGTCTACACTATGGAGGAGATTGACACTGCTACAGTCGATCTTTTGGGATTTGAATTAATGGGTCTAGTGAAGACCCACTAGTTTGAACTGATAGGACGCTCCCAGCAGTGCCAATAGTCCTCCTTCTCATGAGGAGTACAGGAGGTAGATGACAGCATGTTCACCTGTTGACCTCCCGCTGTGTGAACAATGTCAAAACACGATTTAAAATACTTTGACTCCAGCTCTGTAATTAATGTAGCTGGAGTTGCATAGCTTAAATCGACTTTTCCCTTTTATGGTAATCCAGGCCCTCCAGTCATTACATGCATGATCGTATATTCTTTTTCCATGGTGCTAGAAAAGGCAAACAGAGGGATTAGACAGCAAGTAAGAAACCTTGCTGTTATTGAGCAAGGAAAAGGTGAAAGTGTTAGAAGGGGAGGAGAAAGATGGAGGTTATGGTGGATCTTCTCAATTTTTCTTTAAGCATCAAACATTTGTGCAGAGGAGAGTGGGGTGAAGCATCCATGAGGAAGTAAACTGCTATTTAGAAAAGTATAACATACATATACCAAATGGACTAGACCGTTAGCTGGTGTACTCCACTGGAGATTATGGAACAGTGCAGGTTTGCATCAGCTGAGGGTCTGGCTCAGTACATTTACAAATCTACAATATGGATGTGTCTACACAGCAGCATTATTTCAGAATAATGGCTGTTATTCTGAAATAACAATGCAAGCATCTACACAGCAATTCTGTTATTTCAAAATAAATTTGAAATAATGGATGGTTTATTCCAACTTCTGTAAACCTCATTCCATGAGAAATAATGCCTATTCCAAAATAGCTATTTCGGAATAGCAGTAGTGTGGACACTCCACTGTTGGTATTTCGAAATAGCTCCTCCCCAGGGCCATTTAAAGTAATTACTACCTACTACCTCCTGGGGCTCTAAATTGAGGTAGCAGGTTCACATTAGGGAAGCCTGCCTCAGACTAATTTTGAGGGTTCCTTGTAGTGCAGACATGCTATTTCGAAATAAGCTATTTTAGAGTATTTCTCCAGAATAGCTTATTTCGAAATAAGCATGCAATGTAAACGTACCTTATGAGAAGAATTCCAAGAATCATGCCAACAATAGCTGTTATCTAGTGCATAACATGGCTCTCGTGGCTGGAAAGAGCGATTTTAAAGTTTTGCTTGTAATTTGAATGACAAATTTGAATTTGTCTCTCTACAGACAGTAATATCTCGTCATCGATGTGATGCATAACATGAAATGACCAACATGATAAACTTGGCCATAGTTATTAGAATTATAGCAGTTTTTTTATTGGCCAGTTTTTTGTTTTTCAACATTTTGCTTCAACAATCAAGACAACAAATGTAACAAGACTGGGGTTTATTTTGTTTTTCTCTGTGTACTTACTTGATCTGCAAATCCACTTATCAGAGACAGATGTGGAGCTGGATAAGTTGCAAAAATATGGGCGGTTGCATTAGATCCTGTAACTATAAGCTCTCCACCACTGTAGTTCATGAATGCATCTACAGAAAACATAGCCATTGCCTGGTTATGCTTGCTTATCAACATTACAGACAGTGGGAATTGCAAATCACATTCTCATTACAAAGCTACTGGATGCTGTTTTATTTGGGGATGAGGTCATGTTTATAAATAATGGCTGAGGAGAGATAAAACCACTTCCTCAGTGTTTCATTTTTCCTATTCATTCAGGCACTGCAGTGCACTCTTGTCTGTTACATTCCAGCTTTCAGATCTGTTCTCAAATGTTCCTTCTTTCTGATTGCTCGCTCCAGACCAGTGCTTGGAAACGTTTCCTGGGCTTCAACACTTTTATATTGTTCTACAAAATGTTTCTAGACTTGACGTAACATCTTGGGATATCCAGCTTCAGCAGCATTCTGATTTTATTGTTCTAGGACCATTCCGGTTACAAATTCCAGCAGACAAGGAATAATGCCATATTACTGCATAATATTACATAGTATAGTCCCTTGCAGTAGGAAAGGAACTCGCCTGAGAAATCTCCGGTCCCAAAAGAGCTTGAATTCTCTGCTCTGTGGGAGGGCTTTACTTTACTCCCCTGCCAGACATTTCTTCTGATACCTTAACATCTTCCTGTCTGGAGAAAAGGAGTCACTTTTCTCAAATATAGTCATTTTCCAGCCAAAGAGCTCAGATCCCTGGAAGGCACTGTTTGGGAGTTGGTGTTTGAATTCAGTGGACTTATTACCCTTGATTTCTCTGTCTAATTTAGTATTTGCCAGTATGTTCAGAGTTGCATTCCTTTCCCAAATTATAGTCCCTCCTGGCCTAAAAGAAATGACTGTTGCATTTTCCTACTTATCCAACCTACTTTTCTTCTCAAGTAGCAGACAGAATACAGTTCCTTTTTTCTTATCTTTTTGTCCATAAGTAAAGTATTACTATTTCTAGCCTCAGTCTTCATCATGGCCAAGCTTTTCAGACTTGACTAGTAATCTTCTTGGGTGCCAAACCTGAGGCACCTTACAGTGTCCTGATTATCATGATGTGCTAAGCACCCCTTTGCAAAAGTCAGGCCTTTTTAAGGTGTCTGAAGTCAGACATCCAAAATCCCTCCTCGGTTTCTGAAAATCTACAGTGCTGCCCCGAGTGCGCTGCCCCGAGTGCGCTGCACCGCTGCTCCTGTTCCATGCAGCCCTCGTAGTAGAAGCAGCGGTGGCATCAGCAGCTGGGAGCCCTGGGCCCTTTTGAATCCCCAGGCACAGGGGCAGTTGCTCTCTTTGCTTCCCCTTCTTCCCCTCTCCCTGTTGGTGCAGGTCTATCTTATTGTCACATTACAGCTACAGTGCGATATCATGGGGGGAAACTCATTAGGCCAAAAATAAATGAGGAATGCATTATACATAACAAAATAAGATATTTTAACATAAAACATTCTGTAATTTAATTTAAAAGGTTTGAGATGACAAAATTCTGGTCCTAAAGATCCAGATACGCTGCCCAGATCCTAACTTGGAATGAGCTCTTCCTAAAACTGGCTCTAATTTGGCTTCTTAGGCCATGGAAACCTGTGTTAATAGTCCCTTTGTTCTACCTTTCTTTTGTTTCACACCATCAGCCCATCTCCTCTGCCCACATGATGGGACCGGGGGAGGAAGTTCATAACTTTCCGTCTGTGAATTTGTAGTGTGTTAACTATCTAGAAACAACTTGTCACCTTGACACCCTGAGCAGGAGGAAGGAAGGGGTCACCCACGCCAAGCACTTGTGAACCCATGAAAGACAAGCAAAGAGAACAAACCAAGCATTGCGTTCTTTGCCACACTCCTGCCTTCAGATGGTGCTATGTGAGCGTAGAAATAGCCTGGCCTATCTCAAAACGGAGGCCACTGGTAAGCATCGCTGGCTTTGGCTAGAGCCAGGGGGAGACTCAAAATGGTTTCTGAAAGTTCTCAGAGGTAAGAGTGCTCAGGTCTGTACATTTTGTAAGAAAAGGGGGAAGCTAGAGAGAGAGAGAGAGAGAGAGAGAAAAGACCAATTCAGCCATGTATGCCCCATGGTTGTTTTATTTCTAGTTTTGTGTGGGCTTGGCATTAGTTTAACTGTGAATAGCCTTTGTGTTAGCCCTTGACTAGCTCTCCCCATTTGGGCCTCCTCCTTCTCAGTGGTGGATGCTTCCATCACAACTACCAATTAAGAGAAAGGGAAAAGAAAACTTTAAAACTGTGCCCTGCTTTTGTTTAATTACAGGCAGTCCCCGGGTTACGTACAAGATAGGGACTGTAGGTTTGTTCTTAAGTTGAATTTGTATGTAAGTCGGAACTGGTACATATTGTAGGGGAAACTCTAGCCAAACATTTCTCCAGAGCTCAGTTTTATTCTCCTACACCTCACTTCCCTCAGTCCTTTATTCTCAAGCTGAGGTGTCTGCTGAGAAAAGCCGCTCCGCGTCTCCCTGGTCTGCTGGGGGGGGCGCTAGCTTCGCGTCTCCCTGGTCTGCTAGGGGGAAGCAGCTAGTGCGGGGTTGCCTCACCCCGTTTGTAAGTAGGGATCCGATGTAAGTCGGATCCATGTAACCCGGGGACTGCCTGTATATATGTATATCAGTCAGATTACAACAGAAACCTGTTATTTGATGTACCATCTTCTTTCTCCAAGTGATGAAGGAAAATTTACTATGGGGTAAAATATAAAAAGGACCTAAGTTCCATTGACTTCTATATAGGCTTTGGTGCCTAAGAGCCTAAATCACTTTTTAAATGAGACATATGCTCCTAAGACTCTTTGGAAAAGTTGTTCTGGTTTCAGAAACCACAAGCAATAGTATAATGGGAGGAGCGTGTATGGGTAGAGGGAATGAACAATGACTAAAGAAGAGAGACAGTAGAGGGCTTAGGGAAATTGGAAAAAAGGGTTCCTATAATCCAAACTCCTAGGTGACAGTGGCAAAAAACAAAGAAAAATAGCATTCATGAAATACAAACACGCAGAGAGATTAACAGAATCCAGGGTGGGAGAGGTAAGGCTGGGACCACAGAAGCATGGAGTGAGTCCTTTTAAACAAGAAGCAGCGGTTAAATAAATGATCACGTCTTGGATGATTTATCGAGTCAGGGAGGACTTTTAATATACAATAAGTCTGACTTTTATTTTATTTCGCTATCATGCCACAACATGTCATAGAGAGAAGCATGGTCCAGACAGAGTGGGAAGTCAGAAATTCCTGCATTCTAGTCTTATCTTTAACAAGTCACCACTTAACCCCTTTGCCTCAGTTTCCATCTATAGGCTTAATACCTAGCTCAGAGAGGTGGTATGAGACTTGATATCCCAATCTGTAGCCTCACTGAACAACATCACCAGTATTACTTGCATGAGGGCTGCTGGATCTGTCTTTTAATATTTCTGAAGTCCTTGGAGGAGGGGAAGCCCTATATACATGCTAATAATTAAAAATCTTTGTGAGAAATGCATGTTTTTAGAGGGTCTAATTTCCCAAGAATGAGTAATTTTTCTAAATTGCAGACCTTTTTCTGTTTTCTGAAATGTTAGGTCAGAGCCTTCCCCCTTAGTTCTTCCTTTCTCTTTTGTGACATAAGGCCCAGTCCTGAAATGAGCTGCATGTGGCAGACCCCTGTGCCTGCTTAGAACTCATTGAAGCCTCAGGGTGCGTCTACACTGCAGTGCTAGCTCGAAATAAGCAACACAATTTGAGCTATACTAATTGTATTGCTTATTTTGAGCTTATTTTAAGATAATCTATTTCGAAAAGACAATGCCAAATTTCAAAATAGACCAGTATTCTGACAAGTCCCTTAATCCTCATAGAATGAGGTTTACTGGGACGTCGGAATAGCATACCTGTTATTTTGATTGCATTTCAAAATAACGGGCATGCTGTAAAGATGCAGAAAATGATATTTCAGGATACTGGATGTATCCTGAAATAGCGCCGCAGTCTAGACGTACCCTCAGAGATTTCCTTACTCCTAGCAAGTCTGCTAGGCCTGTCTAATATATACTTACCATAATAAACCCCAAAGACAGCTGCTGCTCCAACAAATGCTCCCAAGAATTGTGCTAATATATAAAAAGGTAATTTGGTCCATTTCAACCTTCCAGTTGCGCACATGGCTAATGAAACGGCTGGGTTTATGTGACCACCTGAGAAATAAATCACAAAACAATACTGATCATATAGATAACACAGAGAAATGGGGGGAGGTGGAGTGTTTGTAAACATGCAAACACTTCGGAACACTAGACAATGTGCATAGGTTTGCTCAGCGAGCAGTTATTTTGCTACCTCTCACCGTATTGGGATGGGGTGGGATGAAAGGAGAAAGTTATTGATCATTCATTCTGTTTTCCAAGCATTTATTAAGAATAGTAGGTAACATTGACTTGTTCATACTGCAAATGCTGGGCTATGTTAATCTGCATTTGGGAAAAGGGGCATTAAGTCATCTTTATGCTCCCCTTTTGATCCTGGGCTGGATAAGAACTGAGTCTTCCCCTGGCATAAAGTAAAATACCTCAGATTGCTCAGCTTTGTTCTGGCTAGTGGCTATCTGGAATCTGAGGAACCTTAGCAAATAGTTTCACCCTTACCCCTCAGCTGTAAATAGAAGTAGCGGTACCCCAAACCACACTTCTATGCTGAGTTCCAAGGGGTGGGGTCTGGAAGCTGCTGTGGTGAATGTATAAGCAGAGAGGTCTACTTTTAAATATTTGGGCAGTGCTTAGATGTATTTGTGATAGAGATCATGTAAGTACCTGGATATTTAGGGAGGACTATATTTTTCCAATAGTTTACTGTAACAACTTCATTATCAAAATCGGAGTCATGTTGTTTATTAGATCACGTATTATTCCCTTCCCCAAACACCTTTTCATTGACAGTAGAAAAAAGTGTGAATGTCTTTGTCAGCCTCATTATTGGTGGCTGAACAGTAGATTCTTAAGAAATGCATATTTCTGGTTACCTTAATAAGCAGGCTTCAAAATATTCTAAAATGTAAATATGATGAACTTGGATTTTGCTACAGTGTAGAACATGCCACACACAGCAGCTTCCAGGTAACACCACATTCAGGGATATATTGAGATGAGAAAATGTTGGCCTTTTGTTTGATAAAATGTATTTAAGAAAGTGATCTTTGTCAAAGGGTGGTAATGGAGAAATTTCCATGCTTACTTGGGCTACATTATCCTCTTGTGAAACTGTATGCATCTATTCCATGTGAGCAGATAAACATAGATAACAAGTAGGAGAAAGACCTCCCTTGTATTCTTTTCAAAGCTGTCACCTAGTGGCATCAGTCTGGAATGAATTCTGATCTCTAATTCTTCCTTGTAGAGCTAATACAGGGGTGGCAACTTATTTAAGAATCCTTCATGTAAATGTTGTATGTTCTTGTCTTTTTTCTCTTTTTCTTGCTCTGTCTGAAATGAACAATTTTCTTTTCTTTCAATAACCACACAATCCCCCACCCATGCATCGTGAGTACATGCCAGGGAGAGGATTATAACCTGCTACAGGAGCTCATTAGAATGGGCAGATAAAATTAGATCTGCAATGTGCTACTCTAGTGGGTTGACTTACTTGACTTGGAAGAGACCCAAGATTCTTGGTCTTTAAGCCATCTGTTGCTCTTTCAAATGATAAAACAGGAGCATCGACAGGCTATGGAATGTGTCATTTCCATGTTAATTCAATAAGAAAGATGGAGAAGCAGCAAGGGCGAATGCAAAAAAATGTGGGGAAGGGAAATCTGAGGGCATTGACAGGGAAGTAGACAGCCCCAGAATGGGGTGGGAAAAGAAGAAATTCCCTAAAAATGGATATTCTACAACATATACAGTTAATTAGATTTTGGGTTGTTGTATCCTGTTGACACATCTGCTCTTTCTTACGGAAAATGTGCAGCTTCCAGAACCCCTTCTTAGAGTAATAGCACAAGAAAGCACAACTATGCTGCTCTTGCAACCACTTTGCCTTGCCACACTCGAGCCCCATCAATTTAAGACAAGTCCAGATGAATATCCTTTTAAGATACAAAAAAGTCAGTTGTGCTTTCCAGGTTATTTTCATTCTGCTACATGGGAAGACGGAATCTGGCCCTATCCACATCACAAGCAACAGTTGTAGTTAATCCTTGCTCAGATTAGAAAAGCAGCCAGACATACTATGCTATCAAAATGAAGCTTGTGTGGTACTACTGAGCCACAGTTATCTGTCTCAGTGGAGGTAATGAGATTTGGCTGTTTTACAATACACTGAACCACTTCTTGGTATGAACCTAGAAACATCTCTCAGTCAGTTATCTCAATGTATTCTTTGTGTAAAACACACTAGAGAGGAGAAAACAAACAGCACCCCGTCCTAAAGCAACTAGCGTTCATGCTTTTTGTTAGGCTGAACTGCCCCTCTCTGTCAGTGGTCAGTCTCCTCAACCAAAACTAGAGATTTTATTTCTATATGGACAGCATAAAAGCAGAGAAACAAAGGGAAAGTCTCAGAGCACAAGAAGAGAATAATTATAGGTCTGCATTTTATCCCCCAATTATGAAGAATGTCTGGCGTGTTTAAACCTTCTCCTTGAATCTCTTAATCTTTTATTGCTTTCTGTAATGCTGGATTCCTAAAAGTGTCCAAAATGACATTGTTTTACAAATCTGGGGAGAGGGCACATAGGAACAGGTGAACATTTGCTACTTTAGGGTGCGTCTACACAGCACCTTAAACTTGAAATAAGATACACGATTTGCACTACTCAAATTATGTATTTTATTTTGAAACTATTTCTAAATAACCAATTTTCAAAATAACATGCTATTTCAAGCCATTCCTTATCCCTTGTGCAATGAGGTTTACTGGGATGGCATATTAGCACGCCCGTTAATTTGAAATATATTTCAAAACAAAGGGCAACTTGTGTATTCTGGTATCCTGAAATAGCTATGCAGTGTAATGTAACCTTACTGACCTGAGACCTAAACCAGCAGTCTGGCTCAACTCCTCTTTTTGCAGATGTGGGAATGGCAAAGCTATGTCTGAATGTGACCCTTCTACACCCCTGAGCCTAGGGCTGTGGTTGCCAACTCTCCAGGAGTCCTGGAGTCTCCAGGAATTAAAGATTAATATTCAATTAAATATTATGTCATGTGATGAAACCTCCCGGAATTCACCCAACCAGAATTGGCAGCCCTACTTAGGGCTGGCTAGTGGTGCAAGTTAGAGCAGCTTCAGCGCCACCTGACCTTGTGCCCAGCTGGGAAGCCCAGTAGCTGGGCATTGCTGTACTCTAGCAGCTTTTCCTAACTATGCTGCCCACGGAGCCCTCTCTCAGTGGCTTGGCTGGTTTCTGACCTGTGCAAAGCACTTATTTGGAAAGGCCAGGATTCCTAGGGGCCTTAATGCTGTAGCTTTAAGTCCAGAAGGAAAACTGGTGGCTAAATATGTTAAATAGTGACAAAGGAAAGTGTTGGGAGGGACGGGGTTAATGGAAGATCTGATCTGTCCTCTGCTATAATGGAGCAGACAGCATTCTGAAGTTACTGATAAGAATACCATAAAACTGGACTATATATAAATCTGTGAAAGCTGTGGTATGGATGCTTCACAAAAACAGTGACTTACCTGACACACCCCCAGATACATACACCGCCATGGTGACTGCCATGGCAAATCCAACGTATACTGTTACAGCTCCACCCAGGGCCCCTCGGCTCAGGACGTCTTGGGCCACACACCCACATCCGAGTGCCTGTAGTTCAGAAGCAAATGTAAAACGTGAGCATGCTGCCACCAATCTGTAAATGAGAACTTATTGGATTGTTTGTAACTCCTGCTAGCTGCATGAATGGCAGGGAAATGTGCTAGGCAAGAAATGCAAGCATTTGAAATCACTGGCATGTGGACAGCCACTACTTCAATTGAGCTGGGTATTGGTTTTTCATCTCCCTCAACTCAGTGGCAGAAAGTATGGCTTGCTGTCAGTGTTCCCTGTAAGCTGTGCACTTGGGCAGCCACCCAGGAGAGATTTGACTGCTACTCAGCTGATTAGCAATCTGTGGCCACAGATGGAAACATGTGCTTCTACAGGTGGTGCACACTTTCACATTCCTCAGTGCACATTATAATATTTGTTCTGCACATGGGTGAAAAAAATTAGAGGTGGAGGGTAGGAATTTTACCCACCAGTGTCCTAAATTATAACAGAGAAAGATCTGGTATTCATGGAATAAAAGTGAACTTCTAGGTTGGAAGACAAAGTGCTCTGACAATGTTACATTTCTCTTCTTGCTTCATAAAAAGGCAGCAAACCCAGCTCTTGCCTCCTATCTCTGCTTATATTAGTGTGCATAGCCTTTTAGCTGGTCTCTCCCATGAAACTGCTTTTGAGCTTCATTGGTGAAATTCAGCCCAGTGCGGATCTCATACAAGAGCCCTTGTGCTAAGAGTCAGAGGAAAGGACACACCTTCAGGGATCCCACCTTCCCAGAATTCAGCTTGATTTATTGTGTGAAACAGGATCAAGTTTATATATTTATTTTTTATTTTCTTTCAGACTAAATCCTTTTTAATACTTCTGTTTTCTGAAGTTCACCTCCCAAAACAAACAAGGCCATTCTAGTGGCTGGGTGCCGGTTGGCAAAGATAATTCTGTCTGGTAAGATTTCAAATTGATAAAAATTGTAAAATACAGATTGTACCTCCAAAATCTGGGACACTCTGGTCTGGCAACATCCATGATTCTGCCAGATCACGGATGCTCCTGGAGTAGAGAGCTCCAGAGCCTAAGGGCAGGAGGGCCAGCTGGGCAGAACATCAGAGTCAGCAGCCCAGCTGGGGGCAGTGTGGGACCAGGGATGGAGCCCTCCAGCAGCCCCCAGGAGCACGGGGTTGGGGCCAGAGCCCTGTGGCTTCCCCTGGCTGTGCAGGGCTAGGGCTGGGGCTGCACGGGGCTGGGTCAGAGCGCCAGCCCCACAGCTGCTCCCAGCTGCACAGGAACGGAGCCCCACAGCATGAGCAGGAGCCAGCAGTAGCTGGAAAAACAGCCTAGCTAGGTTGGGGAGGAGGGTGAGGCAGGGTTGCTCACTGGGGCAGCCTGCCAGCAGTGGGTGTTGGGCTTGGGGGGCCAGTGGCAAGAGACCTCTCATGCAGGGCCAGCTTTAGGAAGTGCGGTGCCCAATTTGGACTGTTTTGGCGGGGCCCCCCCCATCCAGGGTTTTTTGTTGAGGAAAAAAAACCAACCCACCACCCACACTACAAACCACAACCACACACAAATATCACATCAGAAGTAGATCTGATCAAAATGTATATCAATATAGTTGAACATTTAAAAAAAATGCCATCCTTTATTACACAAAATTAAATCAGTTCTCTTAAGTGTAGGTCAAATATTTTCAATTGCAAATTATCCAATTTTTTCAATAAAGTTTAAAGTTTGATTTTTAAAAAGTTACCAGAGAGCTTTGCAGTTTTCTGTTACATTGATTTACTTTTTAAATAGCAAAAATGGAGTATTTGTTAAGAAAGTGTCAGTTCTGTGGTCAAATTCCAGTCCTTAGTGATTTCAGCACCAATGATTTCACTAGGTAATATGGTACCTCACCACTGTTGCCTCCTTGCACTGTCCTTCAACACATTGCCTGCATGTTGAGTCCAAGGTCAGTCTACACAAGATTTTATCAATGATTTTTGCTCAAGCGATCACTGAGGCAAGACAAGGACTCTCAATTGATTCTAGTCAGCTCTGCCTTTGAACACTGGGACTGTGTCTACACTGGCACCCTTTTCCGTAAAAGGGATGCTAATGAGACACTTCGGAATTGCAAATTCCGCGGGGGATTTAAATATCCTCCACGGCATTTGCATGAACATGGCTGCTGCTTTTTTCCGGCTCGGGGTTTTGCTGGAGAAAAGCGCCAGTCTAGACGGGATATTGCGGAAAATAAGGCCTTGAAAGTAGGAATAAGGGATCTTCCGGAAAAGGGCTTATTTTCTGCAAGATCCCATCTAGACTGGCGCTTTTCTCCGGCAAAACCCCTAGCCGGAAAAAAGCGGCAGCCATGTTCATGCAAATGCCGCGGGGGATATTTAAATCCCACGCGGAATTTGCAATTCCGAAGTGTCTCATTAGCATCCCTTTTACGGAAAAGGGTGCCAGTGGAGACACCGCCTGGATGTAAAGTATCAGATATAATTGAGGACTCCCAAATGGACTATACACCACAAGAAATGAAACCTGTTTCCATTTTCTGTGACTTTCAGTTAGATGTGACTCACTATCCTCTGCTTAGTGTTCAAATTATGGTAGACCCTAAGACAGGTCATATTAAGTTCAGGTCTTTTACTTTTAATCATACAATATGGATAACAAACAACATTTCATTCTCCCAGCTCCAAGTCTTAAGTGAATTTCAACCCAAAAGAGCCAAAATTGATCACCTTGACGCAGCAAGTGTGTCTACTGATCTCTGTGGCAAAGTAAGTTGTCTATATAAATAACGTCTGCTCCTGAAGGCTTTTCCTACAGTTGATTAACAGATGGCTCATTCAGACCACTGGCTGATAATAGTTTGTCAACCTGACCAGTCATTAACCATAGTGTGGACTCACCCCTACTCTCCATTGTCTCTATGATTCTGATGACCTGTGACAAAAAAGGAGGGTAGAAAGGGAAACTGAAGGGAGAGACCTCTCTAAATTCACCAATCAAAGAGCAGTATTACCAAACCAAAAATCACAAGGAACACCTACACAAAGTTATGAGAATGGTCTACAAATCATAAGATTTTTTAAAAATAAAACGTTGCCCGGAGGCGGCACCTCCGGTTCCTGGAGCAAGAGCTCCGTCTCCAGGACCACTGGGTCCAGGAGAACCCGACGCTGCACCGGAGGAGCTTGGAGGCCCTGGAGGAGCAGGGCCGTGCCCTGCGAGGCCACCTCCAGAGCCTGCTGGACCGCTTCCCAATTCCTCCTGCTCCCCCTCCTGCTCCCCCTCCTGCTCCTGCTTCCTCCACACCCCTCGTCCCTCCTCCGGAGCTTGGAGGCCCTGGAGGAGCAGGGCCGTGCCCTGCGAGGCCACCTCCAGAGCCTGCTGGACCGCTTCCCAATTCCTCCTGCTCCCCCTCCTGCTCCCTCTATGCCCCCAGCGGGGGATTTAAATATCCCCCGCTTCATTTGCATGAACATGGCTGCCACTTTTTTCAGGCTCAGGGCTTTGCCAGAAAAAAGCTCCAGTCTAGATGGGGATCTTTCGGAAAATAAAGCCTTTTCCGAAAGGTCCCTTGTCCCTTATTCCTGATTTTAAGAGGAATAAGGGACCTTTCGGAAAAGGCTTTATTTTCCGAAAGATCCCCATCTAGATTGGAGCTTTTTTCCGGCAAAGCCCTGAGCCTGAAAAAAGTGGCAGCCATGTTCATGCAAATGAAGCGGGGGATATTTAAATCCCCCGCTTCATTTGCAATTCCGACTTGTCTCATCTGCATCCCTTTTCCGGAAAAGGGGTGCAGCGTAGACACAGCCTGGATGTAAAGTGTCAGATATAATTGAGGACTCCCAAATAGACTCTACGCTACCAGAAATAAAACCTGTTTCCATCTTTTGTGACTTTCAGTTAGATGTGACTCACTATCCTCTGCTTAGTGTTCAAGTTATGGTAGACCCTAAGCCAGGTCATATTAAGTTCAGGTCTTTTAATCATACAATATGGATAACAACATTTCATTCTCCCAGCTCTAAGTCTTAAGTGAATTTCAACTCAAAAGAGCCAAAATTGATCACCTTGACACAGCAAGTGTGTCTACTGATCTCTGTGGCAAAGTAAGTTGTCTATATAAATAAGGTCTGCTCCTGAAGCCTTTTGCTACAGTTGATTAACAGATGGCAGTAGATAGCTCATTCAGACCACTGGCTGATAATAGTTAGTCACCCTGACCAGTCATTAACCATCGTCATGGACTCACCCTACTCTCCATTGTCTCTATGATTCTCTGATGACCTATGACAGAAAAGGAAGGTGGAAAGGGAAACTGATTGGTGAATTTAGAGAGATCTCTCCCTTCAAAGAGCAGTATTGCCAAACCAAAAATCACAAGGAACGCCTACACAAAGTTAGGAGACTGGTCTACAAATCATAAGATATTTTAAAAATAAAATGTTGGATTTTTATTGGCCTTTTGTATTTAGGGTTCATGTTTTAAAGCTTTCCTCCTTAGCTGTAAGGCCCACAAGTATAGAGAACTTTGTTTAAATGAAAGCTGAGATGCCTACATAATCAACTGACTCCAGGCCTTTAGAAAAACACCAAATATTTTGAGACTCATGGTAAAACAATGGAGGAATTCTTGTGAGCCTATGCTTTTCCCACAGTATAAATTAAAAAACCAACAATAACTTCTCCACGAAACATCCTAATGAGATACTGCAAATGGTGAACTGAATTCAACAGCTCCTGATATGAACAGGTATCAACCTAGTTTTTCATATGTGAGATGGGTTACCAGGAATCATACATGACAATATGAAATCTTTCCACTCTCAAGTCAGCATATTCACAAAGAACCTATAATTTTGATCCATTTTATATTATTTATCTCCCAGAGGCAACTGACGCCTCCGGTCCCCTCACTACACCACTGCCCCCCCTTCTGCAGATCTATCATCTTATGCATGTGCAAGATCTATGAGAACTGTCCCATGATTCTGCAGTTAGCGTCTGTGATGCCTGCTTCTGGGTGGTGACTCAATGCTGCC